GACAACATCTTCGAGGGTTGGAGTTATCTCCCCCCAAGCTAAAGAAAAAGTGTGAGTGTCGCGGCTCCAGCGGGAGACAACCATATCAGGGTTGGTCTGTACTTTGCGCACTGATAACACCCTCGAAATCGAAACGGCATTGTAGAGACGAACATCTTGCAATTGCTGCTTGAACCCACCATCTGCAATGATGTCATCAACCCAGAGGGACCAGCCTGTTGAAGGGCCCGAGTGAGTGTGATAGTAGATGTATGAATGGGGAAAGTCACCACGCTCCACACAAAACCGCAGCGCAAAGACTGGGTTCACCATGTCAGCATCATCCAAAGCAGCCTCACTAAAAGGAAGCAGAGGCTCCTCTAAAGGAAGGGCATGAGGAACGAAGGAGTCAACTGCCTTCTAGAAAGGGTCAGCTAGCCCTCCGAAGTATGAGGCCCTCCTCCACTCAGTAGGGGGTGGGTCAGCCCTGTCGAGTAGAAACCTTGTGCTGGCCATAAGGAAGTATAAAGAAAAGTAAAGACGATTCTGGAAAGTGGGGACAAAGAAGAGAAGAAGACAAGGAGACAGAAAGTGTGTTTGGGCGGAAGTGGGGGACCAGTGGACCCAAGGGCGCAATTTATAAAGAAAGTAGCAACAGGGCGTCGACTCGCTTCCCTAGGCCCATTATGACTCGTCAGTCAAGAGGGTAATCCTTTTACTGGTATTGATTTCTCTATCCATTGATTGCTTTATGACCACACACCCTCATCAAACTCTTAATCACCACTGTCACTATCTCTCCTTTCTCTCTTGATGTGTATTTTGCTATAGCATTGCATGATGTCAATATTTTCACTTTGACTCTATTCTTGATGCATGTCACAATATTTTCACTCTGTATAGTAATTTTGAAATTCATGTTCTGTTTTATCTTTAATATGTGTTTCAGCTTTAATATGTGCATTGGTTCCCCCTACTTACAGTGAAAACTTCTACTCTATTTATAGACCAAATTTTCTCTTATGAGGTAAAAAAGTTATTTTAGTAGAATTGAGACAAGTTTTGTTTTGGTATTACTCTGAGGCTTCTATTGGAAAAGCTTGAAAATCAAAGCATTCAATGTATATTGTGTCATGGCAGGGTGCAACTTGCCTACATCTTTGCTTGTGGATGTACAAATAATTTTCTATCACTACCGCCATAGATTTTAGTTATAAAAATGCAATTCCCATTAAATAATGTTGTTGCTTCTTTTTTTTTTTCTTTTTTTTTGGGTGACTCCTATATGCATGTCCCCACTTTTCCATTGTTAAAAAATGTGTATTGTTTTTGTCTCATCTTATTTAATTTTGCTTTTACTTCACGTTCAGAGTTCTACATACATTGCAATTCCTGTTAGTGTAGTCCATGTAATTTGGAGATGTTGATGGAGATTGAGGGCGAGGCAACCACCGAGATTTTCAGTTATTTAGAAGTTTAATTTTATAAAAAATAGCCCTTCAACCAAACAAGAAACAAACAAAACTTGAAAAAAAATGACCATGAATTGATTGCAGGTGTTATTAACTTGTAGTTACTATTTATTTGGAATGTTGAAATATTTTTGGTGCGTGATATTTGCCTCTCTCCTAGTTCTTCCCCTCATCATTATGCTTACATATGTGATGATGTAACCATTGTTCTTCTATTCTATAGTTTTACTCAGGAAATTCGTCTATTTTTTCTTTATTTTGGAGAGGTGGTTCTACATGATGTTGATCCTAGTATGAGGACCTTCATTCATTCATGTTTGAGTCGGTAAAGATGATTCTATTTTTATTTTTTTTGTTAAGTAGGAAAGCCAATTTGTAGACATAAGTCGTAACTCAAAAATAAAATACTACTCATGCCAATTAGTTTCTCAATTTTCTCTTGACACCAGGCTCTAAGGATTCTTTTAGATCCTCCTTTTTGAAATTAAACATATGTGTTTAGTTGTCAAAATCTACATTAAGCTCAATTAGATTTAGTACGAAATTACTATACCATATTTTGTTCCAACAAGGTCGGGAAGGTGCTTAATAACTTTAAACATACAAAATAAGATGTGGCATCACATAAGGAACAAAATTTATTTCTGAAGTAGCATTGACAGGACGAAAATAAAATAAAACTACAATTATGAATACCAATATATGAAGGGTCTTGTTAACAAGTGCCTCGAGGACACGAAAAGTAGAGCAAAAAATAAATTTGAAAACACAAGACACTTTTTATTAAATTCAATGCTGTTTTTATTGAAATTAATGCACTTCTTTTAACTGTTTGACCTATTTTCAAGACACTTCTTTATTTCAATCCCAATATCCAGCACTTTTAGCATTTGTCATATACAAATATCTTGAGGACAAAACAATTACACGAACTATAACTAAGACCATTCCAATAAAATAAATTACATATATCTATTAAGAACAGAACAAATAGATGACATGAGGAACTTGCTTTTCTACATTTCAGGAGCTTTAGCAATAATGGAGAAAACTACAAATGCAAGACTGATGTTACAGGAGGACAAGTTACCAAAAAACTTGATATCCATGTTTCATATTTCTTCTTTTCTAGTTCTAAATCTGAAAATTCAGTCAAATAAAGAAACTAAATCCTAAGCAAAGAATCATGCCAATCTCAAATCATACCTGAGGGAGTAATGCAGGGAAATTAGTTAGAAGTTTTCTCTTGCTAAGATTTCGAAATTTCAGTGTAGCTTCTACAACATGGTCTAAAAATTCACTTAGTAGTTTATTGGTGGTAGTTGCTACATAATTAATGTCTGTTGGGCTATATATAATAAATCCATGTGGTTTTTGGGCGATTAATGTAGACTTTTTTTATTCAATGGCAACTGAGCAGCGAGTAGTAACACAAGTGATGAAGACTAAAGTATTCCTCAACTGAGCAGTGAGTCAACAACCAGGTAATCTCAGTTATCACTCAAGAATTCCTTCACTTATGTTGTTGCCATTGCTTGGAAATGGAGACTAAATTGGGCCCTAGTTTTTTTTAGTTTTTATTTTTTTCATTTATCCTTTTTGATGTTGTGATGCAGAGCGTGATTCTTGGGAAGCTAACATGGGCATGGAGATAGAAGGTGATGGGGGTGCCTGCATATCTTCAACCTGATCTGGAAGCAGATCTCGTCTTGCCTCCAACACCAGCTATCAGAGTCGACAACCATGTAATTTCCAATCTCAGTTATTACTTAAGAATAAATTCACTTACATTGCTAGAATTCCTTGGAAATGAATATTGTATTTCATGAGTAACTGATCAAAATAACTCTATTGACACGGGTTTTACAGGTTCCAAGTAGTATGGTGTTAGAATTGTATGATGCGCGATTCGATTCATACAATTTAATATGAGTTTCAATCAAAATTATTTGAATTGTGTTGTTTGAAAATTGGGTGTGCTGTTGAATTGAGAATTGAGTAGTTCATAGGTTTTTGTTTACATAATGTATTGAAATGATGCCTTTTTCAACTACTGTATGATGAAACAAAAAAAGGGCAATTGGTTATACTGATATACGTGGTGTTATATATATATGTAATATATAATTTATTTATATTGATCCTGTGAAGTATTTGATTGCGATTGCTATAGTGTTCCGACATATGTGTGAGGTTTGGAAATTCCTTTCCAATAATTTGGGCTATATTTCATGATCAGCATCCAGTGGATCTTGTATTAGAAGGGAAAAAGAAATGGAAGGAAAAGTGGGAAAAAAAAACTTTGTAAATAGTTTCATGTGGAAAAAAACATGCAAAGGGTGAACTGCTAATACATGTATTATCTTATGCAATTTTATCTCTTCTTTTGTGGAGATTTTGTTGGAATTTTGTGTTTAATTTGTTGTGGTGCGTTATAGAAACCAAAAACACCCTTTTCGTAGTTTTTAGATAATTAGAGATCGACGATTCCAACTTCCTTTACTCCATTCAAAAAGTTGTTCAAAATAATTGATGAAAATTTCCAATGATCCGGTTTGTGCATGTTATTCAAAATAATGTTACTTTTAGGAGTTGTTAGTTTTTCATTTGTATTTTTTTTCCTTTGTGTTTTTGGCGCTAACCCCTTGCAGGCAATGGCACATATGGACATGGTTAATCATTTAAGGTAATCTCCTTTAACTTTTTGATTTTATTTTGTACATTCAGGACAATGCATTGTTTAGTTTAGGGGGAGAAAATACTTATTTTGAGAAGAATTTATATATTTGCTTTCAGCTATGAGTTAGTTATTTTGTTAAAAAAAAATAAAAATTTAGATATCTTTACTTGCTGCTAGTGTCTTGAACTTTGATTGGTTATCTTGTTAAGGTTGTGAAATTCATGACTTGTTCTTGAACTTTTAGGATGAGAACGAAAGAAATCCTTCGAGTAAAGAAAATTTTTGACGTTTGTGAGTAATATTTCTAGAAATTTTATTTCTCAGTATTTGATATTCCATTCATGAGACTATTTATTTATTCTTTCATATTAGCGTTTTTCAAAAAAATTAGTATGCGGGATATTTTGCCTTTGATTTACATTGTTCTACTCGCATATATTGAGAGCAATTTTTGCACCATATTCTGAGTGATTTATTTGTTGAGTGCAATAACTAGTGAGATTGGAGTTGAAGCATGTTTTGGAAAGAGATTTGGGTTATATTTCACTTTGAGGCCAAGGTTGCGTCTGTCATAAGATATCTTTATTTGCTGCTAGTGTGTTAAACTTGAATTGATTATCTTGTTAAGGTTCTTTAACTTTACCATGAGAACGAAAGAAATCCTTTTGAGTAAAGAAATTTTTGGATGTTTGTGGGTAACATCTCTGGAACTCATCCATGAGGGGTAACCTAGGGGATTAAAGGCCTGATTGCATGTGCTATAAATGCAACCGCGATTTCTTGCGAAAGTGGTTTAGAATAGTTGTTTTTATTTTAATTTTTTGTTTTATTTAGCCTTTAAGAATGAGAATTACTAAGTAATTGTAGCATAACGATATTAGTTTAACTTAAGCAATTCATTTAAGGTTTTAAAAAGATGAATTTGAATTCCATTTGATTTTCTTCCTATTTCTCTTTCTTTTTTATAACTTTCTCTTCTAGCTCTGAAAAAGAAAATTTCTCTCTAACTCCCTCTATCTTTCTCCATCCATCTCCCTTTTGTTCTAGTAACTAATTAGCTTTGGTAACTAATTATTTCATTAGCTTAGGTGGCAAAGTTTAACTCATACTAATCTTATTTGGCCTTTAAGAAAGAGAACTTACCGACTAATTGTAGATTAACGATATTAGTTTAATAGCACCTCATTTGAGGTTTTCTAAATCACCTCAGTGTTCAATTCCCTGCTTGGGCTGCTCGAATTCAGCGCAACAAGATGGTAATTTTTATCTTAATTTTCTAACCCTCTACATAATATATATACCTTTTTACTCGCAACGGTCTTGTGTTTGTAGCTTTTCATCGAATAAAAGATAATATTGCTATTGCTTAAAGGCAAGATTTCATATTTTTGTACATAAGGGAGCTGAAAAGGGGTGCTGTTTTGAAAGAAAAAAGGGCCCCCAGTTGATTGACTTGTCCTCCCCGTAACATTGTATATGATATGTTTTTAATGTTAATATTGTTTGTACTCAAATGAATTGTTGAGCCTTCACAAAAAGGTTCTTTTGTATAAAACTAGACTACATTTGTTTCCTGGTAAATTGAGATCTAGATGGACCGGCCCTTTTATTGTTAAAACTGTTTTTTCTCATGGGGCCGTTGAGATTGAAAATCCAAAGAATGGTAATGTTTTTAAAGTGACTGGCCAACGTCTTAAACCAGTTTTGGAGAATTTCCCACCTGAAGAGGAGAGGAGTCCATTGAATTAAAAGGTCCTATTTATCGAGACCCATAAACATAATAATAAAAGCAATGTTACTTTTAGGAGTTGTTAGTTTTTCGTTTGTAATTTTTTTCCCTTGTGTTTTTGGCAATAATCCCTTGCAGGTTCATGGTTCATCTTTTCTTTTTTAATAAATTTTTTGTTGACGCTCAAAAAAAAAATATATATATATATATAGACATGGTTCATTATTTAAGGTAATCTCCTAACCTTTGTGATTTTTTTTTTTACATTGAGGACAATGCATCGTTTAGGTTGGGGGGAGAAAATACTTTCTTTGAGAAGAATTTATATGTTTGCTTGTTGCAATGAGTTTGTTGTTTTGTTATAAAAAAAAAGAAAAGAAGAGCCTTGTCTAGCTTAAGAAGCTGTCAAAGCTCGAGCCATGATGGTTCTCATTCAAAACAGAACCAAACAAAACATGGAAAAAAATGACCATAAATTTATTGCAGGTGTTATTAACTTGTAATTACTATTTATTTGGAATGTTGAAGTATTTTTGGTGCTTAATATTTACCTCTCTCCTAGTTCTTCCCCTCATCATTATGCTTACATATGTGCTAATGTAAGCATTGTTCTTTTATTCTACAGTTTTACTCAGGAAATTCGTCTATTTTTTCTTTATTTTGGAGAGGTGGTTCTACATGATGCTGATCCCAGTAGGAGGACCTCCATTCATTCATGTTTGAGCCGGTAAAGATGGTTTAGTTTGTAGTCCTTTCACAATAGTTTATTTGTGGGGAAAAAATGAAATTATGATTTCATCTAACAATTATTCTCTATTTATGCATATCATATGATAAATCATATTTAAAAATCACTCTTCCAATGTTTGATTGCAGTGAATTTTTAGACCATGTTGTTGCTGCTACATTGCCTTTTGAAATCTTAACAAGAGAAAACTTCTAACTAATTTCCCGACATTACTCCCTCAGGTATGATTTGAGATTGGCATGATTCTTTGCATAGGATTTAGTTTCTTTATTTGACTGAATTTTCAGATTTAGAAGTAGAAAAGAAGAAATATGAAACATGTATATCAAATATTTTGGTAACTTACCCTCCTCTAACATCAGTCTTGCATTTGTAGTTTTTCCCATTAATGCTAAAGCTCATGAAATGTAGAGAAGTAGGTTCCTCGTGTCATCTTTTTGGTTCCGTTCTTAAAAGATATATATCATTTATTTTATTGAAATGATCTTAGTTATAATTCGTGCAATTGTTGTGTCCT